ATCATCAGGTACTTGTCGAAACGTTGTACATTTGCTGTTATGTTAAACATATATTAAAGTTTTTCTTCATTACCCATTCAAGCCGTCTCCAGCCATTATTAGTCTCAAAGTGGGTTCCTCACCGAAAAGGAACTTGTTACCAGAGACAATAAATTGACTCTTCACATTAGTTGAATATTTTCAAATTGCATTTATACAAAACAATCAATTTCTTACTTATGAGAAGTGGATATCTTTTGACGTTACATATCCCTATTGTTTTTTTTTTTTTTTACATTTCAACGTTGATAGGAAAAACTGTTGTACTCGTGATTGAAAAAAAAAATGCTTCGTCAATTACTTTAAGTTGTAACAGCCACTCATTATAAGATATGTTTAGGGATTTACACTGGTATTATATATATTTATTACTCCTTTGGAGATTGTGAATGGTAACTAAGTGGTTTAGCTATGGAATAATAACAAGCAAGAATGATGCATTTATATTATAGTTTTTAATGGAGTTTAGTTTATTAAATCTGATACGGTGAACATGGCCAGCAAGAGATCGAACAGTGTGGTGAGACGTCGCTATAGCATTAACTTTGCAGTTTGGATGCTCGCTAATACATTTTCTCTACAGGGATAAAGGTGTTCAAAAAATGGCTTAGTAAAATATAGTTACAAACGCGTCTCAAGAGTTTAGGATCGATTTGTCTTTCTGTTTCTAAGTATACCTTACATTTTCACAGCTTATCATAATACTAGCATGAGTACAATGTTGAAAAAAAGTATTCCTTTGTTGTACACACAAAACTACACAATGGGCTACCTGTGCTCTGCCCACCACAGGTATCGAAATTTGGTTTCTAGCGTTGTAAGTCAGCAGACGTACCGCTGTGCCACTGGGGGGATTAAAAAGAAAGTAAGAACACGATAAAAACAATTAATGTGGTGAAGAAAATTGCATTACATGTAAAGATAATTTAAACCATATGCGAAAAAACTAAACAGTGGGGGTCCTGGCCGTAAGTTATAGCTTATATATTTAGATCTAGTGACTTTTCTTAGGTCTGGAACTTAGATACAAAATTCACTCTCTAAATAGTTTACAAATCCACAATTTATCTTTTAACTATCAATAGTATAATTGTAATGTAAAAATATTCAAGAACCATCAGGCCCGGCATGACCAAGTGTTTAGGGCGCTTGACTCGCAATCTGAAGTTCGCGGGTTCGAATCCCCGTCCCACCAAACATACTTGCCTTTCCAGTCGTAGGGGCGTTATAATGTGACGTTAAATTTCACTATCCGTGGGTAAAAGAGCAGCCCAAGAATTGGCGGTGGGTGGTGATGACTAGCTGCCCTCCCTCTAGTCTTTCACTGCTAACTTAGGGACGGCTAGCGCAGATAGCCCTGGTGTAGCTTTGCGCGAAATTAAAATGAAATATCGTCATTTGCGAAGAATGTTGAAGTAGAAATCACAAACTAACTTTTGTAAGTGTGCATGTGAAAAAAAAAGTCCTCGTTTGGTACATCACCATGGTTACACCAGAACTTTATACTATATATGAATCAAGTTATTTTTGGCTTCTTATCATTTTTATCTATTCGAAACATAGTGAAATATATATATTATTTTTACAATATTTTGAAACAGTATGTATTTTGCTCTTTGTCTACAACTGTTAACATCCATCCAGGATTTAAGACACTAGATGAAACATGTTTGGAGTCAGCTAAAACAGCCCCCCCCCCCAGTGTCACAGCGGTATGCCTGCGGACTTACAACGCTAGAATCCGGGTTTCGATACCCGTGGGGGCAGAGCATTGTGTAGCTTTGTGCTTGATTACAAACAAAAAGCTACAACAATTTCATACATTTGTCTGATAATTCTAGTTGAGTTTATTTTTCTTTTTTTATTGCGAATACCTTAGTTATACAGTGTGTCTCAAAAGTCCACTGATAGGCAAGTAATTTAGAAACTGATAGTTATAGGAAAATAAGTGTTAGTGGTAGGAAATGAGATGTTGTGGCCCTACTCTGTGGCAATATCGTTGGGGTCATTCAAGGTCAACTTCAAGGTAATATCCTTTCCAAATTTCATTAATATGCATCAAACTCCACAAATATCAATCGCAAAGGTGTTTGGTTCTGATTTGAATTTTGTACAAAGCTACTAGAAGGCAGTCTACGCTAGCCGTCCCTAATTTAGCAGTGATAGACTAGAGATAAGGCAGC